AGGAGAGGCTGAGGTATTTGGGCTTATTTAGTCTGCAGAAGAGAATAGTTAGCCTTCAATATTGATAGAAGCCTTCAACTTCCTGAAGGAAGGTTCCAAAGAGGATAGAGGGGGGCTGTTCTCAGTACTGACAGATGGCAGAACGAGGAGCCATGGTCTCAGGTTACAGTGGGAGAGGTCGAGGTTGGTTATTAGGAAAAATTGTTTCCCTAGGAGGGTGAAGAAGCACTGGGATGGGTTTCCTAAAGTGGGGGTGTGTTAAAGGGTAGGTTCCCCTCAGGCTTACATCTGCCTCATCATCGGGGCTATCCGTGTCTGACTCCCCAACAGCTGAGTGCTCCCCACTTCCCTATCGAGTCTTTGGCTCAGGCGAGCCTAGTCTGAGTCTACTGCTGTGATCAATAGGCTTATTTGGGCCTCTTTGCTGGGTGGTGGAGTGGAAGGGGGACCTGGTCCTGCTCCCTCTCCAGGTCCCAACCCAGGACCTTAAAAGCAGGGGAAAGGCTCTGCTGCCTGGTTGGTGGGGATATTCCCTGAAACTCACCAACCCTTGGGGATTTTAGGGGTTTTCCTTACACCGTCCTGGGCCACTTCCTTCCCTCCGTGTCATGCTGTCAAGGCCCGGTGTTCCGCCTGCTTGGAGCCCATCCTCGATCCCCTCGCGGTTCCCCCCGTGTTCCCTGGGCGTCCTCCCAGCTCCTCTTTTTTTTTTTTTTTTAAGAGCTAATGGTTCTTGGCTGCCATTTGAATCTGCACGTCAGCGTTTCCACGCCAGATGTGCCCCGCCCCATAGGCTCTTTGTGCCACAGCAGCCGCCCGTGCTTCCTCCGCGGCCAGTGGCCAATGCTTCGGCTGCCTTATGGGGAGTGCGGGGCTTCGCGGGCTCAGTGCCTGCTGGGTCCCTTGCCCCGTCACAGGGTGGAATCTCCATCCCTTGAGGTTTTCAACTCGGCTTGACAAAGCCCTGGCTGGGTTGATTTAGTTGGGATTGGTCCTGCTTTGGGCAGGGGGCTAGACTTGATGCCCTCCTGAGGTTTCTTCAAGCCCTATGATTCTATGATCATTTAGGTCCACGCGCTCATAAAGCGCAACACTAAATACCATTGCATCTTTTTAATGCCACTGTCTGTGTGTGTTAATGTTTTCTGCCATTTCACCTATGTACTTCCCCATTGAACTGGCAGACAAAGGCAAGTCTTTTATTCTGGAGAGGATTGTGTCTTTACTGGGCAAGCCATTGAACAAAACATCCGAAGAACTGAGAGAAGCCTTTTCCACGAGTTCAGTTCCCATGCTAATGGCCTCAATTGTGATGAGAGATGGTTGGGACACTATCAACCTAACATTTAATGACGATGCAAACAGCTCTTTGTGTAGATTCCTGTTATTGCCTTTGATTCTTATCTGCTTCATTTTAACTACCCAATCTTCAGGTGCTTACTGATTCCCAGTTCTGCCATCCTGTTTTTCCATGTGATATTTCCATACTATCTGTTCCTTGTTCTCTGCCCCTTCCTTCCCTATTTATTTCAGGTCTGCACATCCAAAACTCAAAACTCTACATAATACCATCTACATATTTTGTTAGTCTATAAAGTGCTACCAGACTATTTGTTGGTTTTTTTAAGTTTATTCAGATCATTTTAGTAACTTGAATTTAAAACTCTTGAAAGGTAGGAGACGAAAGTCTTATTTATCTTCAGAGAGGAGGAAACCAGAAGCAGTCAAATTAAAGCTGTCCATACCAAGTTAGTTGTGTCTCACAATGGAGGGAGAAATGAACAACTTCAGTTTTCATTACTTTAAGTGTACTTTAAGTCATGTGGTGCTAGTGTAATGAAAGTATTACAGAGCAGGCACAAGCATCTAGAGTTGGCTTTTCCAGTACTAGCCTTGACGTCTCATGTTAAGTAATAAAAGGTGGCAAGGAGATGGAGCAAGAATACATGAGGAAATGAGATCAGTAATATGTCATTTTTACCATCTGCTTTTTCCTGCGGTGATCTTTTTTCTTTTCTATTTTTATCTTCATTTCCCTGTTTTTTTGAAGCTCATGGAAGTTTGGTTTTACTTTCTGGCTCTGGGGCTGAATGTTTTGGTCTGCCTAGAGGTATTGTAAGGCATATGGAGGGTGGGGGAGAGTACTTTGCTCCAAATATGCTTGGATTCCTACCTAACTCCAGAGATGTAAGAGTAATGTTGTTCTCTTAGACATTGAATCCTTGGCTTCTTACAACATTTTTGATTGTGGCATTTTCAGTGAGGAATAATGCTCCCTGGGCCTGGAGTGAGAGGGATGTAATTTTACAAGCCCTCAAATTCCTCTTCGGAATCTGTGGAGTTCTGTGCCAAAAGTTCTGAGGAGTTCTGTGCCAAAAGTTAAAAAGTCCTGGCATCATAGTTTAAAATTTTGCATATTTGTCAAAATACTGCAATAGAATCATGCCAGTTTGATTTATTTTTATAATTTATTTTAAAATGTCAGCAAGTATGTTTGTAATACAGACAAATTCAGAACATGTTTTTGACAAATGCAGTGGTAAGCACATTAATACAGAAGTTTGCTTAATTAATTTGAACTACAGTACAGAAGTGTTTTCCTGCACTGTTCAGAATCAGTGGAAAGACTTGGGGGAATTGGGGATAATGGGGGAGCTGAGGGAAAGGTAAATGGCTGGGAAGGAGCCATGGAATGTACCTGGAGAACTTATGGGTATGGGTAGGAGACGTATGGAGCATTTTTTGAGTGGATGAGGAGCGATTGTTGAACTTTCCCCCATGCAGACTTAGGCGGATTTCTAGTTTTTCCAGTTTGGTCAGTCACATTTGCCCCTCTCCCTCTGGGTTCCTGTACCCTCATTCAGCCACCTCATCTCATCCCCATGTGTCCCTGCACTCACTCCCATGCACTCACTCCCATTTAGTCCCTGCCTCTGTGTGGTCACCTAACTAGTTTCTGTACCCCTGCGCCAGTCTATATCCCTAGTTCCTGAGAAACCATCTGATCGAGTCCCACCCCCATCAGCCTTCCTGATATTCCATATTGCCGTACCTGGCCCTTTGGGTAGGACATTGTGAGGCATGCAGTTTCTTCTCTCCCTTTCTTTTTTTGTAGCTGGCTGCTTGGTTGATGCCATTTGTTCTGGCACCAAAGCAGCTCCTGTTGAATGAAGGTATTAACACCACCCCACAAGAAGGTATTTTCTGCAGAGACGAAAACAAAATTTGTGGTTGACATGAATTCTGTACAATGGTGCAGAGTTTTCCAAGGAGTACTTTAAGACATTAGCAGACTGGGCCAAATTCATATTGGTTGGTTAGAGTCAAAATGCTTAGGTAGCTAGACTTGTAGCCTCTTTTTGTTTGGAGTAATTCCATGCCCACCTGTGTGCCCATCCCAAAGTGGGATGTGATTTAAAAGATTTAAGTGTAATAATTTATATTGGGGAAGCAGATGTCAACCACTGCTAATAGTACATCCTCCATGTGTGCCTTTTGATCTGAGCTACCTTGTTTCCATTTTATTGCTAGCTAAATAGTCTTTTAGGGGTAAGAGAGTGATCTATTGGGGCGGAGGGTGTCTTGTACAGCACAAGATGGAGTAGCAGTCCAGTATGTAGGGCCTCGATGAGGCTGGGGACCCTGCCTACATTCTTGAATCCATGCGCTCTCTGAGGATTCCCAAGGGAAAGATGAGCTAGTGGGGAGCATCTAAGATATTTATTTTTTGGATTATCTGTGCTTTAAGTGTAAGAGCAGTGGTGTTGAGAATCTTGTGTAGTGCATTATAATACTAGGGGCCCTCCTGAGTGTTGTACTGTAATTCAGAAGGCTTACATCTTGGGTTGGAGATTTTGAGAGGGTATGTTTAAGTTATGGGTGAGTCTGAAGGGGCGTCAGCACTGAGCCTAGGGGCTAGGCAGCTCTACTGCAGAATCCAGCTCTTTTTTTTCTAAGCAAAAGGTCTATGGCCTAAAGGTATTTACAAGGCCCTAAGTATGCCAAGGCCCAAAGACTTGGTGGAGTAGCTATGCTCCATTTAGCCTCTGGAAGCATATAACACCTAAGGACTGATCAGACAGGTTTTTTCATGACAATGTAGTGAATGGTTGGGGGAATAATTAGCTGGGATCAGTGATGTCCTCTTTTAGGGCTTTGGTAATAAGGAGCTGGCAGAAACTATCTTGGCTATGACTGGAAGTTGGTAGACTGATGCTTTACTGGATATGGGTAATCTTGAGTTTGTCACAGTAATACATTGATGCAGCATAATTGCAAATGTATATTGAAGCAACTTCAGTATGAACATAAACATCACTTTTTTTTTTCCTCCAAGCACAAAACTGATCTGCAGTTTCCATCATTTTTTCTTCACATTTCAGGCTGTTCCTTCTACACACTATATTGTGTCCCTGAGCAAAGTGGGGGACCCCTGCTTCACACCTCCAGAAGGGACAGGGCCTTGGTCAGAAGGGGAGGGGCTGGAGCTAAGCAGCTGTCAGCGATTCCTGGAGTGCACAGCACTGCCTGCTGGGAATGATTTCAAGGGACCATGACTCCAGTGGGCGTTGCTGCCACACTAGCAGTGACCAGGAGCTCTGGCCCCTTTTGTATTGCCAGGCCCTGGAGTGATTATCACCTTTGCCCCTACCCCCATGTCCCTTGCACCTGTCCCTGGGCATTTTGCGAGAGTGCTGCGGTGATCATTGTACTCTCAGGTCTGACCTGAGGTGCTCCTATCGAAACAATTTGCTGGAAGTCTGCAGAGCTGAATTTATCTCTAAAGGTACAAGTTAAGCATCCCTGTTGTATATTTTAATAGTTTTACTTCTCAGTGAAATGTTGCCAGTTTGGTTGTATAACATTTGAAGCATTCATTAACCAGTATAGCCCGCATGTCTTAATATGCATAGCTTTTGTTGATCTTTCACTTGCTGTATCTTAATCTGTAGCATTTAGAGAGAAATCTGTATTCTAACCAATACTTACTTTGTTTTCAGTGATCGAGAGCAGAGAGAACGAGAAGAGGCTCTTTGGGATTTTCGCTCTGGAAAATGTCCTGTGCTTGTTGCAACTTCAGTAGCCGCAAGAGGCCTGGATATCGAAAATGTTCAACATGTTATTAATTTTGATCTTCCTTCCACTATTGATGAATACGTTCACCGAATTGGACGAACTGGACGCTGTGGGAACATTGGCAAAGCGATTTCTTTCTTCGATTCTGTTTCAGACAGTCACATAGCCCAACCTCTGGTTAAAGTTCTTTCAGATGTATGTTGTCCAGTTTTTTACAACTTAACTTTAATATGTTCTTTTTTTCATATACTACTAAGACTTCATTATAATGTATGAACTAGACATTTTTTCTGTGATGCACTTGAAAAACTCTTAATACGTAGTTTGGCAATCTAATTAGCATTTAAATT